GACATCTGTCTGAGCTGTGTCCCCCTCTGGGTTTCTTGCGCACACCTGCACACCCAGCCTACTCCATGATTGGGCAGTATGAGAATGTATTGGTTTTGCACAGCCTGGTTTTTGGTAGCAGGGGGGCCACAGAGGTGGCTCTTGTGAGAAGCTCCTGGAAGCTTCCACCATGTCCAGCAGAACGAATCCCTAATGGCTCTGAAGATGGAGATGCGACTGGCCAGAACTGGGCCAATGAGAGAGGCTCTGTGATGACATATTTAAGAAGAAAATCAAAACAAAGTGGGGACAGTATTAATTCCAGCCAGAAAAGAGGAAGAGGTGAAAACATGTGAGGGAATAAACACGGTGACACCAAGGTTAGTGAAGAAGGAGGTGTTGCAGGTGCTGGAGCTGAGATTCCTCTGCAGGCCGTAGTGGAGACCATGGTGAAGCAGCTGTTAATGGGAAGGAGGGAGGGGCTGGGGGAAAAGGTGTTTTAAGGCTTATTTTACTTCTCATTATCCTCCTCTGAGTTTGTTAGTAATAAATTCACTTTGCAACCTTAAGCTGATCCTATTTTGCCCTTGAAGTGTTTTTCTCTTGGTCCTTATCTCAAGTCATGAACCCTTAGTTAATTTTTTTTTTCCTTTTCCTCTCCTCTGCCCAGCTGTGGCAGGAGAGAGTGAGTGAGTGACTCTTGTGGGTGCCTGGCATTGAGCCAGTGTCAAACCATGACAATGTCCATCCTCTGCTGTGCAGAGGAGACCAGCTGCAGGGGCCCCTTCACCATGGGAAGAGCAACATTCACGGGAGGGACAGCAGAGGGGGTGTCATGGCCCATCAAAGGCCCCCCTCAAAGGGGTCCCCAGCCCCTGCACCAGAGCACATGATGCAACAGATGCACAGTGTTGCAAGGAAGAGTGTCAAACCTAGCCCCCTCAGGGGCGACACCTGGGCATTCCCATGTAGCACAAATGTATATTATTAATCCATTGGATTCTATATGTTTTGGCAGGGTGGTGAGGGACCCTCACCACCAAGACCAGATGGAGGCAAGCCATGAGATGTCATTGGGACCCTTGGGAAGGTGATATGTTTCTACCTAATCCCTGTCACTCTCCCTGTTCTGCCCCCACCCCCACCTCCCACCTGTCTTTTTCTTTCTTTCTTTCTTTCTTTCTTTCTTTCTTTCTTTCTTTCTTTCTTTCTTTCTTTCTTTCTTTCTTTCTTTCTTTCTTTCTTTCTTTCTTTGTTTCTTTCTTTCTTTCTTTTCTTTTCTTTTCTTTTTTCTTTCTTTCTTTTTTTTCTTTCTTTTTCTTTCCTTCCTTCCTCCCCTCCCCTCCCCGTCCCTTCCCTTCCCTTCCCCTCCCCTCTCTCTCTCTCTTTACCTCTTTTACTATTGAAAAATAATATAAATTTTTTGGCACCAAAACTTAGTTTGGTTTTCATCAAGTTCTGGGGTATATTTCGAACCTTTCTGGGTTCAATCAATTTTATTCACAGAGACCTAGTTTTTTTGCTCTTCTGTCTTTATATTGGGTCATAACAGTTTCTTACCCAGGAAGTAGTGTTTGGTCACCTGTATTCAAGAAAGATCAACTCAGATCAGGAAGGAAAGAAAGGAACTCCTTAAATTAAAAGACCTTGAGGGCAAGAGAACACATTGAGAAGAAAATTGCCATTAAAAGCACCATCAAAACAAAATGCTAGAATAGTCTTCAGCAAGAATAATAAGGAAAAAAAAAAACCTGATTCTACTTGACTTTGTTTAGTTCATAAAAGGAAATATATGGAATAGCTGCCAATGAAAATAGGAGACTGAAACTGAGGACCTTCCAGTTCCACATTCCTAACTGTTTCAGAATTAAAAAAAAAAAAAGCGTATATAATTTTGAATTGTTCTGGTTTTGGCAGGCTTGTCCTTTTTTATATGACTTGTCCACTTCCAAAATAAGTTTCAGTCTTATACATATCTGTCTGTCTGTCAGTCTCTCTACCTCCCTCAGATTTCACATGGTGCACTTCAGCCTGGCTAGTAAGTTCAATGAAAACAAACCTGAGGAGAAGACCACAGTTCCTGACCTAACCTCCCATAGGCCTTGGAATTGCTGATTTAATTGGGGAAACTGCTAGGTTTTCAGGACAAATCTTTTCTTGGTTTGAAACAACAGTGACATATTTCAAACTAAATGCAGGTTGGGAAAAATCATATTTAAATTAGCCTTCTTATTCAGACAAATTGAGAGAGAAGGGTAATACCAGTTACGAAGCAGAAGAAAAACTTCAGAAAAAGGCCAGGGGAAAAAGCTGGTAGTGTTTGTAGAATGGGAGTGAGAGTGGGACAAGCACAGCTGAGTAGGCAGTAGAATACGAGACAAGGTGTAACCTGTGCCACCCAGCCAAGGTGAAACATGGGTCTCCCTTTTGATGAAGCCATGTCAGGGATACAGTCTTGAGCTAAGAAACAGGGCAACATGCTACCTTCATTCTGGCATTTGGCAATCTCACAAAAAAAAATTCTGTTTTCATAGACTGTTAGATTTGATTTCTCATCCCTCACCCTGAAAACTAAAATGGACAAAAGTATTTTACCACATTTATATAATCTTCTATCCAATCCTATATATAGATTTCATTAATTTAATACTGAGCAAGTATTCTGACCTCTTAATAGGTAATCACTTTATTGTCAGTTTCCTGCTCTGTGCCATTCACCTAAAATCAATGCAGTAAAATAATAATTTTAGTAATTAGTCTGGTCATTTAAGTTAGACAAAGGTAAGGGGCAGATCATGCCCAGGTCTCAAGTGTCTTATCTCCATTGAGAGACTGATGTAGGACAGAACACATTCTCTATGAAGTCGTCTCTGCTGGATAAAGTAATCACTTCCTTTACTATTCCTTTCATCTTTTTGACTATAGCACAGAGCAGCATCATTAAGATTGAATAACAAAGCTCTCAGATTACAAGTCCAGATGAAAACTGCTTAAATGACAGAAATTATTGTACATTACCACTTACACAGGTTAGTGCAAAGCTTGTCTCATGATGTGTGTCCTTCAGCTTCAGAGGAGCCCATCTAAGTCCCTTCTCACTTGTGTTGGTATAAATCTAGAATAATTTAATGTAAGTCAATACATCGTATCTGAATGCATGTCTGCAGCAGGTTACTTGAGCATCTCTGCTCAAGGTTACTATTTCATTAATTTCTGATTCTTTATGGCTGTTGAACTGCAGGTTAATTTAGTAAAACATTGCATATCTAGAATTTCAAGCATTAAAATGGCACTAGCTACCTGAAAAGCAAGTGGAAATGGACTAGAAATATGTGAATTATTCCTTTCCAACACTCACAGGAGATTATAACATGACCAAGACATGATAAACTAACTTTCATTGCTCTTTTACTAATAAGACTCATTTCTCCACTCATTCTTTATTTCTTTCAAAACCACTTGCAAATAAAATTTCCATTTGCAGCCATTTGAAATACTGAAATTTTGGATTTGCTGTAGTAAATAGTCATATGACTTTAAATTAATTTGTACATTTGAATCTATACAAAATAGCTGTCTTTATTGTATTTTAATTCTGGTAGTAAGCAAACTGGGGCCAGAGGACACTAAAATCTACTTTGCACCCTTAATGACTCCCTTGACACCATCCTTAGGCCTCTGGGATCTCAGCCAGTGCGTTATGCACTCAGAATTTTAATAAAATCAAGACATCTTACCCAGGACTATTCAGGTCAATATGCATCCCACTAGACCCAAAAGGTATGGGGGAAAGTGTCCTATCTTTTTCAAGGGGTATTTCACTACTAAGTAGAAAAGATTTAGCAGAGAAACTTCCATTACATCCAACCCAAAGAGCAGGCCAATGGCAGGCATAGAGAGCCAAAACGTCAGACCAGCTCCAGTCCAGACACATTAACCAGGCTGAGCAGAACGCTAACAAATGAGCTGGTTTTTTCCATTATTAAAAACCATCTTATTTTTCTCAAATTTTGATCTAGTTCTTCCTTTGGTGAAACTGGAAGAAACAAATGTGCTAAATGTTGTGGGTTTGATTTCTAAAACAAAGCCACTTTGTCACAGATGTCCTACAGGGTTCTTAAAAGATGTTTGGAGTAGCACAACACACAAAATCCTGCTATGTACAAACTGCTGTTCTCTGCTTATCAAGAAGACAAGTGAGGCCCACAGAGGGCATCATTAGCTCATCAATCCTCTGGCCCCAGAAGGAGATGTACACTGCCTGTTTACACACACACATGCTCACATGATAACAAAGAGATTTTAGTACATCCAAAAGTCTCTGGTTATTATTTTAGCTGCTGCAACACTAGTGCTTCCACCAATCTCCAAAAGCAAACTGGGCATTGCATTCCTTTTGGCAGCAGCTTGCTCCTACATCTTTTGCCCAGCAATGACTGAGAACATTTATTTTTACTTTGAAGGGTGCTACCTTCATATCAGAACCCACATCTACTTGGAACTCTCCAATGTCTTTGGCATTGTGGTATATAAAGCCGTGGTCTTCCACCAGTACAAATGTGCTCTGAGTCACAGGTCAGGTCCTAATCTGCCCAGCCTGTTCTTAGATATATAACCAATTGTCTTAATATTGAGGAAACAGACTGCTTTAGTATGGCTAGAAAACATTGAAACACTTAAGAGTTGCAGGAGTAAAAGCTTACATCTAGCTTCTGCTCCCTATACAGGTGACCAGTAAGCATGGGGATGTACAGAGTTGAAAACATAATTTCAAATATATTATTCAGCTACTATATTCCAGCCACTATGGACTATAAATCCTTGCAGGAAAAGCACATGAAGCTCAAAAATTCAACTTTCATCCAAATTCATAGATTGAAACAGAACTCAAGTTACACAGGTTGATACTCTTAACATAGGTCAGTATCACAACCACATGGGGTTTAATTTGATGTCGATAAAGCAAGATTGATGAAATATAAATAATTCTCACTACCTTTATTTTATTTCCATGGGTTTAAAATACTGTAGTCAAGTCAGCTGTACTCTTTGTCTCCAAACAGTTTGATGTTATAAATAATAGAATTACAATAAAAGATGTCTACTAGCCACACACAGATAAACACACACATATAGTATTTAATTCAAATATACAGAAGAAAATGTCTCACTCACTTAATGGAAAAGTACTTGAGCTAGACAAGGCCAATAACTGACAAAATATTATTAGGAAAATTTTACAGTCATTTTTTTATTCCAAAAGTTGTATTTTTTGTAAACCTGACATTTCCAAAACAGTGCAAGTGAATCAGAATACAGGTGAACACAAGCTTCTAAATACAGGTGATATCAGTAAGAGTGAACATTTTCTTCCAATCACAAGTTCACAAAAAGAAATATACAATTTCACAATATGAAAGCAATAACATTCTAAGAAAAAGAAGGGACAATGGTGCAGGTACTCTACTGCATGCAAACCAAGCTCCAAAAGTAATTAGACTTCATGCCAGTTTAATCAATGCACATTCAATGAATGAAATTCTATTTTCATTTATATCCAAGAAACCCTAGCAAATGGGTAGACTTGGGATTAATTCTGTGACTCCCTTAATTCTTTAGCGAAAGCAGTATTATATATTTCCATGTCAAATGGACACTATGCTTTAAACTTGTGCAAAACTCAAAAATGTGCCCATAAACAGAACACATTCAAGAAAACTGATACTAAATATTGTCAAAGAAAAATTTTTCATATCTATTGCTTTCAGCAAACTGGGCTACCTGAACATCACTGACTTGGTATGTGGGGTCATTATCATTCATGCATTTAGGCATAGAAAGGGATGATTTCACTGTTATGCTCGCAGAAGTCTTCGCCACCTTGAAAAGAAAATATTGCTTAAGTGGTCTACAGGCTTGGAGTTTACATCAGGTATAATTTCTCTCTCAGATAACCCAAGCAACTTGTTTTTCTTGTCAGATGTTGAACCAATACACTTAATTCACTTTAAAACTATTTTCTCCCTAATGCATGCAGATAGCTAAGAGTTAATAAATATCAGTCAATACTGTAGTAATAGCAGACACTTGATGATGGTGGTGGTAAAAAGCAAACAGGAACATGAATGTGGTCCATTTTTATAATTTGAAGCTATCATGAATATGGCAAGGAAGAGCAAGACCTGTTCTCAAGCAGATTTCTTGCATGTTCTCCGCATTCAAGTTTCCAAACTTCCAGCTGTTCTTTTACCACACTCCTAAGGAAGAAGACATCCTGCAACCTTTCACTTTCTACCACAGAGCTTGGCCCTTCTTTCCTTTACATGGATTTTATACCAATATGACATTTACTCCTTATTCACACAAAGTGTAAAATACAAGTAGAATCTAAACCCAAGTCTTACAAAGTTCCACTATTTCTATTCAGAAATCCAGGAGCATTTTGAAGAAATGTGCTTGAATTAATTACAACTGGATTTCTTCTAATTCAACAAACAATTTGTTAAAGAATTACCAGCAATAAAAGTGGCAAGCTGAGATCCAGTAACACCTGCGTCTTTACTAAACTTTTTACTAAATTCTTGAGGAAATACATTCAGTACTTGGAACACCCAGACAGGCAATCTCAAGACTCAAATATCCAAACATTTTAATCCTTGCATCTACTTATCTCTCTTAAAATTATCATATAAACAAAATCATGACTCAAGTATGTAACTCACATGAAAGGCATAATGCTCACAGCATGTAGCAAGTTATCACTGGCTTTGACAGCAACAGATCACAATCTTTTAACAGTAGCTTTAAAACTATCCATCTTAATATTAATATGACTTAATTACCTTTTAAAAATTATTTAAAGGAATTTGTCAATGCCATAGTGGTTTGCCCAATTATGTCCTTCTGGTATCTCAACTGCACAGTCCTAGAAACTGCAAAAGAAAACTTCCCAAAGAGAACATTCTGTGCTACCTTCTTCAGTGAGCCAAAGCGCACTGCTTGCTCCATGTCACTGAAGAAGTATTTTTATCCTTTCCCATCCAGGCTAGTAAAGGACAGACACAAGATACAGAGTATCACAACTGTGAAATACTTTAGGTTCTGTAGCTTAAAAATCAAATACAAAATTTAACTTAAAGAAAGAGACAGTAAAAATATTTTGACTTATTTGTATTAAATGCTCTATATATGATATTACCAAGAGTTGTGAATTAAGCATACAAGGATTCCAGCTACTTTTATCTGCAAATCTCTCTTTTCTCTCTTGCATTGATGTTTAAAAGTACAATAGAATTTTATATATATATATATATATATATATGTATGTATTTCCAAAGATTTAGCCAGATATCAGTGCTTGAGTGAACTATATAGCTATTAAATAGAAATTATAAAACATTGATACAAATATAAAGACATACTCAATATAAAAAGCTTGTATTTATAAAAAATATTCTTAGGCAAAAGTCTTCCCCTGAGGGCATACTACATAGTTGGATTCATAAATATTGCTCTGCACTGCAGCTTGGTTACCAAAGTTCAAAGTTCAATTCTTAAATGAAGTGTGAATTGCACCAGTCACCTGACATGGCTGCAGTGGTTGCCTCAGGATATGTTCCCTAGGTTTTTGGAGTAATAAAGACACAGCATCAATGGGGTCTCCGAAAAATCTGGAGAAGATTCCTTCTTCCACATATGGAAGATACGAGAGCAGGACCTATAGACTAGCAAGTGCATGTCATGTGACTGGGCAGTTTTGTTTTCATGGGCAGTTTACTGATTTTTCTGGACCCAGTTCCAACTATCTTCATTCTCCTTTCTGCTCTTTTCAGCCTCAATAATTTCTTTGTACCTCCGGCGGAAGAAGCCCATCTGCAAATCAGAAGAGATGACAGTGCTAAGTTATTGAATCATTAAATTGAAACTTCTTGGTCAGTATGACGACAGAAAACATTATGCAGAAAGAATTAGCTAAGGAATGAGCATTTAATTCCTCCAAGTGCCAATCTGAAATCTTAGTTCCTTATTTACATCAATATAAATGTGATCAGACTGAGTCCCATTTCTTCACAAGAACTCTGCTCCTTATAGATTAACTACTCTGAGGTAGTAATCCTCTTATATGAAGTATGAGCTAAAAAAAAGAACATGAAGTATTTATAATTATAATTAATACAGACTGGCAGAGGAAGATACAGGTTTACTGGTTTAAAATAGAGACTAATGCTAAATTTGCAGCTGAACCTAAAACCAGGCTAACTCTTGAGTCTTAAGTAAATGCCAACAGAATTTTATGAACAGTACTCTCAGTGTCTACAATTCCACAAAACAAGAGGGACCAGAGGAATACAGTGCAGTGACCCACCTCCCACTTCTCAGTTCCAACTAAAATCACTGATAGTCACTTTTGCATATCTTCTTGTTTCCTAAACCCTTGTACTTAAAGAAATGCAACTAGTTTGCATCTCAGTTTGGCTAAAAATTTTCATATCTCTGTTTCTTTAAGTCTCTCAGATAAACAAACATTATTTTAATAACAGACTTTGGTAAGCATTCAATAATAACTCCACAAACTTAGCAATGCACTGTTGAGATTACTGAATAAATATTCTGTTCAACATAATTAAACATTTATGTAATTCCCACCACTCTAAACCTGTTTTCTTACTCCTGGTGTGTAAAACGTGATGTTTTAGTCTTCTTTTATCAACCAGTTCTTCAGTTATTGCCACCCTTTATCCCCAAATTGCCTGTGTGTAGGAATATTTTGTGTTGTTTTGTCATTACTAAAATTCCATTAAATTTGACTTAGTTTCAATTTCCAACAACTTTCATTTTCTTCAAGTGTATTTTAATTCACAGGGGTCTAAAAGGCAGCATATTCGATCTGTCAAGGGGGCTTTCCCAACACATCTTCCTAAAGTCTAAGTCCTTGCCTGTGCCTCAAATTACATTCTGAATTCACAGCAGCATGAGACTATGCACACACCATCCTATCATCAGTCCTTATCTCTGCCTCTTGCCTTCTGTGCAAAGGACATAGAAGCTGCAGCACAGTCTAACAAGCCCCCCTCTTTTGGTAAATGGAACATGCTATTAATCTAGAGATAAGTGTACTCTGCTAGGAGCATAGCTATACATTACATACAGACTTACTAGTTCCAGACAGACAGGGATAATTTCTGCAGTAGCCAGAGGGGGCATGGCTAGAATCTGGAGATTATTCTACATAATCTCACATCATTGCCAGGGGTGGGGGGAAATCTCTTGCAGGGGAAAGTGTTCCTTCTGGTCAAGAAAGCAAAGTGGGGAGAACAGTGGGGTAATGCTATGTCCGAGCCAGAGGGAGCAGTCCAGGTAATGTGGCTGCAGTCGAGTCGGGCTCAGTAGCATTTTGCATGTGAATCACTCTTTTCTACTCTTTTGTTATTAATACTGTTGCTGTTACTATTTGTTTTCTTATCTCATTGCTGTTTCCAGTAAATTGTTCTTACCACAATGCATGACCTTCACATTTGTACCTCCAATTCTCCTCTCCATCCTGCCTAAGGGGAGTTTGGAGTGTTCCAGTGGGAACACTAAATTCAAGAATACAATCCCTAAAGCATGACAGCCTAATTTGGTGCCAAGTGGGTCACAAAGGTTATGATAACAACAGATTTGCCCAGAGGAGGCTGGAAACAAACTTCATCTAAACCTTTGTTATATTAGGTACAGAGCCACTGGCTACAATGTTGCTTGATCTGTTCATGTGGTTGTGCTACTTAACCCTGTATGTCCTCCTTGCAGTGCTCTTTTTCAGAGAAGGGAGAAGGATCAGAATTACTTTGTTGATGTACTGTGTGATAATGGTTTATCACATAATAACATGTAATGTTGGTCTTTGGGGGTTGTATTCAGTGTTGTTCTCCTACCCTTGCCTCAGGCACACTATTTGGTAGTCCAGTAAAAATTGTACCCAGTCTGTTGGAGGACAAGGGGAGGATGACTTTCCCCAGCTTTTTACCCTCTTTCCTTCTTCAGGCCTGTACAACAGCTTTGGAGAATTTTGAATTCCCTTTGGATGTTAAGGAAAGCATGTGGTTGTTGCTAAGTCTGACAGGTCTCCTCAGTGCAGTCCACGCCATGGTAAGAATTAAATAAAAGACTTTTAACATGATCTGCCCTGATGGTGGACAGTCATGAATGGCATGGAATGTGAGAGAAAAATGCCCAGTTGTTGGAGAAATCTACGCCAATGACTTGGGAGTTCCTCCCTGAAACACTACAGGACCCCGATAAAGTGATAAAATATTTGGAAGAAGAATGCTGTGGCAATTCCTGAGAAGTGCAATTTATTGCAATGTGCTGGGCCCAGACTATGATTTATTGGACACTGCACTGTACTAGGTAACACCCTCAGGCAGAGGGGAATGAAAACCCACAAGCAGGCCACTGCAGCTGAAGCAGATGAACAACTTGTGCTGGTTGCAGGTGCCCCTATAAAGAAATTCAAGACAAATTTAGTTCACTTAGTGAAGGACGAAGAGGACTAGGGCACTCACAACAGGAGGAAGAAGCAGGGCCAGAGAGAATCACTGATCCCTACCTTGAGGTGAGCTGCAAGATATGCAAAAACATTTCAGTCACCCTTCAGGAGAGCCCCTTGTGACCTGCCTGTTCTGATGCTGGGATATCACAACATGCAATATGAAACTATTGGTAGTTTCATGCAATACGAAACTATTGGTAGATGGTAGTGAAGCCAGGCAATTGGGATCCCTGTTCCAGGACGTAGGCATTGGCAAGAGGATTGGAAAGAGGACAGAAACTGAGGACAGAAACTCTCAGCCTTTGGAGACAACATCTGTCAAGCATGAGGGAACAGTATTCTCCCATGGATGACCTAATAGTGCACTGAGACAAGTGGAATGCCCTGGAGAAAGGTATTCAGAACCTGAAAGAATTAGCTGTGCTGGAGGTAATCTCTAGGGATCCAAATAACAAACAGTCCCCTGTAGATCCAGATCGGATCCAGTGTACACAATCCATGTGGCAGAAGTTTCTATGGAGTGTGCCATCATTGTACACCAACCCTTTGGCATTGATGTCAATGAAAGAAGAAGCACTGCTTCAGGTGATCACCCGACTTCGACAATATGAAGTTCTTTTTTCCTCCCTACCAACCTGTGCCTCGGCCGTGAAAAGACTGAACAAGACTGCAGACAGACTTGAAATACTCAAGCAACCTAGAGAGAAAATGTCCCATGCCCCTGCCAGTACAGACCAGAATCTCTGCTATTGGGAGCACGTACCCCTCTGCTGGAGAGAGGGGTACACACCACACGGTAACCTGCAGTTTTACCTGCACAACCACAGAGAAGACACAAGAAAGTGGGATGGAAAACCCACCTCTGCCCTAACAGCAGGGGTACATTAATTGAGAAGAAGAACAACCACCAACAGAAATTCTTCAATGATAATCCAGTTTCCAGTGGACAAGTCTTCAGACAAAATGGAAGGGCTGAATGTTATTTCTGATCCTCTTGAAGACATCTCCAGTTCATGTCTACAAGAACTGAGCAATGACTGCCATGACCAGAACTACAGGGGCCCTGCCTCCAGCCATGTGGAAGAAAGGGGGAATCAGATCTATCGGACTGTGTGGACCCCATGGCGTGGCACATCAGACCCACAAGAGTAATAAGGCTTTAGTTGACACTGGCACACAGTGTACCCTGATGCCATCAAGATGTGTAAGGGAATGGTCTATCTCTATTTCTGGGGTGACAGAGGGGTCCCAAGATGACCTGAGGTGACCCTGATTGGGAATGAATGGCAAAATCACCCCATTCTGATTTGCCCAGAGACCCCATGCACCCTTGGCAAAGATTAATTTAGGTGAGTCTATTTCAAGGACTCAAAAGGATTGATGGAGTTTGTTGGTTCCGAGCTGGAGGGAATGGTTGGGGTAGCATGGCTGTGGTTGGGCCAGGTTGGACTCAGTGAGCCTTTTGCATGTGAATTACTCTTTCCTTTATACACTTTTGTTATTAGTATTGTTGCTGTTGCTGTTTGTTTTCTTACCTCATTTCTGTTTCCAGTAAATTATCTCAGTCTGTGATCTTTACCTTTTGTGCTTCCACTCCTCTCCAGCCCACCATAAGGGAGCAGGTACGAAAGGCTCAGGGTTTTAGTGGGAGCACTAAATTAGAGAATACATACCTAAGCCACAACGCCTGCAACTACTTCATAAATGCACAGTAGGTAGACATACATATAAATGCTCATGATCTCTATGTTACAAAGGTCCCATAACCTGAATGCCCCCCTGAATAACTGGAATTAGACCTTAAAAGTAATTTCTTCAGCCATTCTTGTGCACAGACTGTGAGCATAGTATCTTTCCCATGTACCATAAGCAAAGCTTCATCTGTTGCAACATACGTGCAAATACATGGATAATGGTGTTTCTGTTCTGAAAAATCAACTCACAGAAGTGACTCTGTTGTATTTTCTCACTTCCTAGCCTCTTTCAGAAAACTGTATGAAAGGATTCAGAAACAGAGAATTGGAGAGGAGTTTCTGTAGTTCCCAACTCTTCAAACTTACTCTAAAAGTGAGATCAAATTCTTTTTTTAGCAGAAAAATACCATTGCTAGTAATTTTTGTACTTGGACCCACAAGTTATACCAGTGCAAAGAATTTATTTTTGAGAAGACATCCTCAGGATTGCACCATCATAAAATCACAGTGAAAGTTCACCAGTGATGCCAACAGAATTCAGCTCAGTTGGGAGTGCAAGCGAATAGCAGAAGTTTCTCTAGATTTTCAGTCTAAAATAGAAGCAAATTATTATATTGATAACAAAAAATAAATTGTAAGAGCCTACT